TAATGTAATGTAATGTAATGTAATGTAATGTAATGTAATGTAATGTATGTATTGTATTGTATTGTATTGTATTGTATGTACGTACGTACGTGCGTATGTATGTATTATGGTATGGTATGGTATGGTATGGTATGGTATGGCATGGCATGGCATGGCATGGCATGGCATGGCATGTAATGTATGTATGTATGCATGTATGTATGTATGTATGTATGTATGTATGTATGTATGTATGTATGTATGTGTGTGTATCGTATGTAATGTAACGTAATGTCATGTCATGTCTTGTCTTGTCATGTAATGTAATGTAATGTAGTGTATGTATGGTAATATAACACTAATGTAATGTTTGGATGTATTGGTATGTATTGGAGTGTTTTGGTATGTTTTGGTATGTATTGTAATGTTCTGTAAGGTATTATTGTAACGTATTGTAACGTGTTGTAAGGTAATGTAATGTGTCTTAGTGTAATGTAATGTAATATATGGATGTATGTATGGACGGACGGACTCACGGATGGATAGATGGCTGGATGGATGGAGGCGAATACCACCATAGGATCTGTTGACCAGCAGGATCGGATCGTGTGCCTGTTCCCTTGTTTTTGCAGCCAGACCGTTGAGTCTTTCAATGTTGATTGGACACTGCAACATGGTGGATAGACATATTGGTAGTAGAAGCAAAGTTTGTTGCGAGAGACGAAAGATTTTCGGTAGAGGAATAGACTAGTGTATACTTCAAGCAAATGCTTTTATAAGCAGTTCACTACACTCTTGTGAACAGATTAGGTGCGCAAAACATAGACAATGCCCAAATATTTACCAGATAAAATTCCTGAATATATGCCAGATAGAATGCCAGAAATTGTGCGAGACAGAATGCCAGATAGAGTGCCAATATATGCCAGTGTATATGGGAGATACACACCTTTTTGGTGATGCTGAAACAATACATACAGCCGTCGGTTGTCAGTAGATTATCGTGCCATGGTGGGGTAGAATTGAGTTAAACGGATTTTTTTTCCCATGGCGTCCAAAAACAAAATCCGCTTGGGGGTGGAGACGTTCAGTCCGTTCAGGTGACACATTCGCCTTCGGTGAAGAAGGAAGAGGACCGATCTCGAGATGGATCGAAATGGATCATTTGTTGTTTGAATCCTTCGGATGTTGATCCAAGAAGAAGAAAGGGTACCCCATATGCCCAGAAACCTCCAGACACATCCTCAGAAACTAAACTTTTCGACCCCCCCAAACCCACCTCCAAAGAGGGTGATTTTTAAAGAATAGGGGTGCCCGTGATCCTCTCACGGGATTGTTCTAGGAACCACTCCTGGCACTTTCCCAATGCTTAAGTTGAACAAATGTTCAGTTCACAGAAGGTTACTATGAGATCCAAGTGATGGAATGTTATTTTCTGGTTATTCATATTGTTCAATACTATACTACTATACTTTATATGACTTTGAACCTGCACCAAGTTCGATGTGTCCCGCCCTTTTTTAAGTCATGAATCACCGGAAAAAAATCCGTCAGATCGGCATGATCGATCGCCCAGCCATACATGTCCAACCCCACACAGACCACGGGACTCCCTCAATGAAAGCAAAAGCGCCGGTGATATGCGTGCTTATTACAAAGTCGTCACTTCAGGATGGGAAGTGGAAGGTGGATACCTCCTACATCGGCTACCGCACTGAGAATCCGGACAACCTGACCCGGAAGGAGGAGAAGGTAGACGATGCAGTCTATGTACCACGGATTATGATTCAAGAGGATTCAAGGAGGAAGCCGGTCTAACTCTTTGTGCCAGTCAGTGTAGTAACATTGATACTGGCTTGTTGGAATGAACATTGATTGGACATGACTGTAGCTGCCAGGGTTGATTGGACCCCGCGGAACTCACAAAGATTTGTGGGGAACTTACTCAATATCCCTTGTTTGATCGGGGATCATCTGACAATCCACCATACCTCCTGCTTGATATCAGCTGTGTTTGTTTGTACATGGAATGCCTTGTTTGTTCAATGTTACATAGTTTTGGTTGGTTTGCCCAGATAGCTTGAAACCCAACATTCCATGCTTTCTTGGGAATAATGGTGAAGGTTCTCCCAATCAACAACATTTGTTCACCGATGAAAGCCCAGGTCCAGGTGTTTGTGGGCTCAATATCCCTATATTCTCACATTCACATTCCTCCAAAAAATGATGTTTGCCTACCCATTTCCAAAACCTGCCCCTAAACCAGAAAGCACCATGGTCTAACATCCAGCCAAATCTCGACTATCTGAGTGACCAAGTCACGTCCATCGATCGAGGACTTTCGCACCCAGTGACGGCCTCGGCCTCGGCCGTTTCGCTCTGAGGCACATCCGGAGGATCGGAAATACCCCCACGAGGAGCTGAAGGTGAGCCGCGGCAAGCCGCCCGCCGCTTGGGCATCCGAGGTCCGCCCAAGAAAGGTCGGAAGACCCGGCGGGGGAAGACAGGGGGGCCCAGTTGTGTGGTTTTTCGGAGGGACCTCAGTCCCACAGAGGGGTGGGCTGGAAATGAGGAAAGGCCGTGAACATGAACATAGGTAAGGAAAGATGCAAGAAACTGGGGAAGTACAGCCAAGACGTTGATTGCCTTGATGATCCTGCTTGAATTTGTTTGTCTTTGGTGAAAGTAGGTTGAACATGGTTGAACTGCAACAGGGGTTTATGTGGATTCAGTGTCAGGGGGCATCTAGGATAACCAACCAGTCACTGTGTCCTTTAAGCATTTTGAATCCCTCCTTAATTCAGTTAGGCACCACCACTGCCTCTTCGTGATTCTCTCGCCTCACATGTGAGGATGTGGATCCGGCCAAGAGGGAGCTCTACCTCTCGGAGTCCGACTTCAAGTCCATCTTTGGGATGACAATCTGGGACTTTCAGAAGCTTCCAAAGTGGAAGCAACAAAATGCCAAGAAGGCCAAAGACCTCTTTTGAGAGACTCGTGCCTTCGGCTGCCTTCGATGAACATCTCATTCAATCTCCTTAGCTAATCATGCTCGCAGACTAGCGCAGCTTTGCTGGGTTTGCTCCAGGAGCCCTTGCACCAGGTCCAAGACATGTGTGTGAAACGAGTTAGAGATGCGAAATCGTTCAACTTCGCTGCATGATTCCAGCAGAAATATACGAGCAAAGGCAGGAGCAAAGCTCGCATTGGCGGGCAACAGAATCGAATCCTGACATCAAAAAGAGTGGCAGGAGCGAAGCCGCGGTTCGGAAGCGCGGTCATGCTGGCGCAGTCATGTTGGAGCTCAAATATGAGATGCTTCCTGTCGCTTTTTACCTTTCAATCCCAGTTCTATTTCTACTTCACGGTGACAAATTCTTCTCCAAGCGGATAGTCATGTGATGTCATGTGAGCCAAGACGACAATTCATCATTTTGGGAGGCATTCATTGGGCTCATTTCAGAGCGTTCGACAGGTGTTGGTGTTCTGACCCACAATTGAGCATGCCGGAGACATCCAAAGACACTGGGCATCACTGAACCTCCCCAACTTGCGCTTGCTTGCTTCCAAGGTGTTCTGGACCCTTATTACTCCAGAGAAATGAACAAAAGCACATGTGCAATAGATTTGACATGCTGAGAATCTTGGGTTCAGGATCTATTGGTCCATGAACCGAATGAAATCTTTTGACCTTTGTGCATTCCCTGCTCCGCTGCAGTTCCAGTGCAGCTCCATCGAAATCACGCGGACCTATGGCCCGGAGCCGAGACAGAAGGTCCACTGAGTGGACCTGCTTGGTAGCCACTGCTGGCACAAAGTTCTGGAATATTCTGGAATTACGGTATAATGAATTGACACGTTTAATAGATTTTAATAGTATGCGTATGCACATATTTGATACATAGCTGTTTTCATCGTCAAACATGATTCCTTTGGTTTGAGGTCAATACGATGAGGTAGTTTTACACTAAGGTCCACTTGTAGGGCACTAGGGATGTTGTTTGACTGGGCAGGCCGGGCAGGAAAACGTTGCATCAAGACTTGACTGTTTTGCATCAGGGCTTCCTTGCCCAGTCTTGGTTGCTTATTTTAAGGACACTTTATTCCCGAATGCGTAGCGAAGGGTTCTCGTTTAACTCTTGGGGGTCTGGGGGTAGAGTCTTGTTCGCGATCCGTTGCTTCTATGTTCGCAACCGTCCGCAACCGTCCGCAACCGTCCGCAACCGTCCGCAACCGTCCGCAACCGTCCGCAACCGTTCGCAACCGTTCGCAACCGTTCGCAACCGTTCGCAGTAGGACGCTCGCAGTAGGACGCTAAGGCGCTGCCATTGGGGGAAGCTTTTGCAAGTGACTTTTCATTGATGTGTCACGTGTCAGTTTGCGACGCTATTCCATTGTGATTTGCATGAAAATGACATGTCGCGCAAGAAGCGTGATGCATCTCGCTGCACAGGCGCAGCGTTTTGTGAGATCCTCAGTTTGCTACGCAGTTCCATTGGGATTAGCATTTGGAGAGTCGTGTTTTTGGGGTGTTGGATGTGGCCGTGCTTTGGGATTTGCCTTTCAGGGTGTGGCATCGAAGCTCTGTGTTCGTGACAAGTCTCAGCTGAAATGGCGATTTTGGTGGATGGGAGTGTGCTCAGAACGGATCGAAATCATTCCAAACGTGTGGTGTGGTGCAAATTTTGTTGAAGCTCACATGAGATGATATTGTCACTTTTCGTGGCAGGCGCAGTACTTTGTGCGGGTTTTGAGGCATGGAAGTGTGATTTTCGTGGCAGGCGCAGGGAATCGTGAGGTTGCGAGGTGTGACGGAGGTGACATTGCGTGGCAGGCGCAGTACTTTGTGCGCGTTAGACGTGTGGACGCGGAAAGATGCGTGGCAGGCGCAGGGAATCGTGAGGTTGTGAGTTGTGGTAGAGGTGACTGTCGTTGTCTCATTGGGATTGGCGTGTGAGCGGGTGTTGTTTGGAGGGGCTGGAATCACGAAACTGCTTGGCAGGGCTGCGTGATGTGTGTGCTCCGATGGTTGTTTCCGCTTGACTTTTGGAGGAAGTCTCGTACGAAACGCTCGTTTTGGAGACTTTGACACGTGAGTTTTTGAGGAAGTCTCGTACGAAACGCTCGTTTTGGAGAGTTGACGCGTGACTTTTGGAGGAAGTCTCGTACGAAACGCTCGTTTTGGAGACTTGACGTGTGACTTTTGGAGGAGGTCTCGCACGAAACGCTCCGTTTTGGAGGCTTGACGCGTGACTTTAGGAGGAAGTCTCGTACGAAACGCTCGTCTTGCAGCCTCGAAGCGTGACTTTTGGAGGAAGTCTCGTACGAAACGCTCGCGTGACTGCTTCTAGTGTGTGGGCAGACCGTGTCGCGACACGAGTGTCCCACAAGAGTGTCCCACAAGAGTGTTCCACAAGAGTGTCCCGCAACCGTGTCCCACAAGAGTGTCTCACAAGAGTGTCCCTTAAGAGTGTCCCACAAGAGTGTCCTATAAGAGTGCCCCACAAGAGTGTCCTACAAGAGTGTCCCACAAGAGTTTCCTACAAGAGTGTCACACAAGAGTGTCCCACAAGAGTGTCCCACAAGAGTGTCCTACAAGAGTGTCCTACAAGAGTGTCCCACAAGAGTGTCCTGTAAGAGTGACCCACAAGAGTGTCCTACAAGAGTGTGTCACAAGACTGTCCCACAAGAATGTCCGACAAGACTGTCCCATAAGAGTGACCCACAAGAGTGCTTTTGAGAGTGTCCCACAAAGAGTGTCCTACAAGAGTGTCGTGTAAGAGTGACCCACAAGAGTGTCCTACAAGAGTGTCTCGCAAGAGAGTGTCCCATAAGAGTGACACACAAGAGCGCCCCACAAGAGTGTCCCAGAAGAGTGTCCCACAAGAGTGCCCCGTAAGAGTGGCCCACAAGAGTGTCCTACAAGAGTGTCCCACAAGAGTGTCCTACAAGAGTGTCCCGCAAGAGTGTCCTACAAGAGTGTCCCAAAACAGTCCCCCGCAAGAGTTTCCTACAAGAGTGTCCTACAAGAGTGTCCCACAAGAGTGTCCCAGAAGAGTGTCCCACAAGCGTGTCCTACAAGAGTGTCCCAAAACAGTGCCCCGCAAGAGTTTCCTACAAGAGTGACCCACAAGAGTGTCCTACAAGAGTGTCCCACAAGAGTTTTCCACAACAGTGGCCTATATGAGTGTTCCACAAGAGTGTCCTACAAGAGTGTCCCACAAGAGTTTCCTACAAGA